TCTGCAGTTTGTGAACATGTTCAGGATCGTCCCCGTCAATACATTAGATTTGATAGACCACAAATCCTCGCAAAAGAACACCGATTCCTCCCAATGATGATTCGCGAGGCTATTGAAATTAAAAAACATCCTAATTTCAATAGAGAAGATGGATGGGTGCTGCCATCTGCTTGGGATCCCATAATTAATAAAATCAAATCCAAACCCAAGTATACCACTGCTAGACTTCAAGATACTGTAAGCTCATTCTGCGTAAATCGAACCAAAAATTAATATTAAAAAACTGAAGGTAGCCGGGCTAACTATGACAGCAGGACGTCAAACAACTCAGTCCCCCGTGACTACGGGTGCTGGAAAGCACCCGAAACGTCGGGAATATAAAAATAAGTTAAAAATAAGTTAATATACGCGATAAAATCCGTAAAATTAGTTTTATTTAAAAATGTGTAGTGTTCGCGTAAATATAAGAAATCATTAGGAAGATTGCTGTCTGAAATTTCTAGACTCTTTAACTCGCTAGGATTTTTGGCGCCACTTTCGACAAAACTGACACTGCTTTTTCAAAAACTATAGGACGAAGATTTAAAATGGGACGATAAGGTTAACAGAGAGAGGTGTATAGTTTTAAAACCGAAAACAATTCAAAACCATTAGGATTATGCTGGGATTCGAAGGACGATACATTTTTATTTTAAAATAAAAGACCAAAAGAAACATTACCCTTAACAAAAGGAAGATTGCTGTCTGAAATTTCGAGACTCTTTAACTCGCTAGGATTTTTGGCGCCACTTTCGACAAAACTGACACTGCTTTTTCAAAAACTATAGGAAGAAGATTTAAAGGAAGGTTTAAAGGAAGGTAAGGTTTCACCTGAAATAGAGAAAGAATGGGCTGTGGTAAAGACAAAAATCAACATCATTAATCAATACGAGATCCCAACGTGGATCATAAGTCACAAAGATAACGTCATACAGTTGCATGGCTTCTGTGACGCCTCACTGGAAGCGTATGCTTCCGTCATTTATGCGACGATCGCGGGGAAGCAGGCGATGCTAGTAGTCGCAAAAACCAAATTAGCTCCATTGAAAAAACCGACGACAGTTCCTAGACTAGAACTTTTTGGGGCTAATTTACAATCAAAACTAATGAAAAGAGTAACAGAAGCTTTTAGTCAACATGAACTGGATATTTATGGCTGGACAGACTCGACGGCGGTGCTCGGCTGACTCCAAGGTGAACCGACCAGATGAAAACCCTTTGTAGCAAACACGGTACAAAAAACAACTGACGTCATGCCAACCGCGTGTTGGCGTTATGTAAAATCAAGCAAAAACCCCGCAGACGCGGCGAACAGAGGCTTATATGCATTACAACTGAAAGAACATAAACTGTGGCGGCAGGGAACATCCTGGTTCTCAACATTCAACAAATAACAGTTACAAATAGAAACATATACAACAAATCAAGATTTAAGAAACACGTACATGTCACCCACAAACAAGAAGATCATACGATTAATAATTTGTTACAAAACTATAGTTCATTCAACAAAATAATACGAATTGTCGCTTGGTTATTGAGGACATTTGCACCGAAGCCGCGCATGCAAAGGCCGAGCAATATTTCGTTACTTGAACTTGCTGCCGTAAAAATGCTGATCGTCAAGTATGTGCAACACAATGAATTTAAAACGGATATTGAACATTTACGTAAATCGGGCACAGTAACAACAAAAAGTCAATTATTAAATTTCAATCCATTTATTGACGAAACTGGATTGTTGAGAGTTGGTGGTCGGTTAACATCGTTGCTGATTGTTGAAGATTTGAAAATCATTCCTCAAACAGTCGCCTAGCAGAGTTGCTAATCCATGACGCCCATAATCTCTGCTAATCTCAGACAACAATACGGGATCGTTGGAGGACTAAACGAACAGTTGAGAAACTGTGTGACGTGTCGCAAGAACAGAACCAGCCAGAACTATCCCATCAACTGATGGGTGATTTGCCACCTGCACGAACGGCGCTTGCGCCCCCATTCTTCTATTGGGGTAGATTACACCGGTTTCATAGAAGTCAAGGTATACCGACCGTCAAGGTCAAGGATACCGACAAAACGGAAATAATGTGATAGTGTTAATAGTCAACATTGCTATAACAGTTGACATAACAATCCGTGATGACAACTTGACGGCTGGGAAGTAGCCTATGGCAAGAGAGATCGAGTTACATCCCGGCAGCGACGGCCACGTTCGAGATGTAACTCTTAAAATGAAAAAGGGTTACTTAAACCGGACTATTGTAAAACTAAGCATTTTACCAATTCAAAAAGGAAGCAATGACAGCGACAGCAGCGAACAGTTGCAAGAAAATAAAACAACAAACAAGAGGTCAATAGGTCATTAAGGTTTACACTCAATCGTTTTGGCTCTACTATTTTTTACAACAATGGTGTCTTCGGTGAATGGAACAAGCAACATAATTTAAATGAAAAACAAACATTGTACTTTAACTCGTGGCAAAACTACAGCTTCTGAGAGATCAATGGAGCCTAGTAACCTACTATGAGATGGAACCCTTTTGAGACGGGACAGAAGCATTCAAGAAATTATTACACTACCTAGAAAAATCATGCATAATTATGGATACAAACAACAAATGTAACCTGATTGTTCTACAGCTACGTCACGAGTATACGGAGTTACAATACTATAATCAGCTGTTGCTGATCCAACATTTTACGGAGCGCTCCAGACGGCGACGACGCGGCCTTATTAATGGGGTCGGTTACCTGGCCAATACATTGTTCGGAGTATTGGATGAGCGATTCGCCGAACAATATACACGTGACATTAACTTTATCAAACAAGAACAAGCCCATCTTAAAAGGTTATGAATCAATCAGACAGCTGCGGTGGAATCCGAATACAACTATCTGAAACGGTTGGAGGGAATTATGGATAAACAACATAAAGCTTTACTGCATCTTCGGTGTTATACTTCTGGTGGGAGTCACAACAGGATATTCAGATGGTGGACATGAACATTTCAGGAAAACGAGATGTAAAATCGCGCGTTGCGTTCCCTATATTAGTGTTCACTGATGGATGTTAATAATATGTTTCTTATTTTTTTAATTTTATTGTTTTGTTTTATCTTCATCCCCCGGGAATATGTTCGGTGAAACCGAACACCTTTGTCAGCAATTGGCGCCATGCCGCCAATTTGTTTAGGGCATTTTCGTTACGCAACAGAGTCGGGTGCATTAATAAAAATTTATTAACATTTTTGTAACTGTTTTAAATAAAGTGAATTTTTACTATTTTGGACGTTATCAATTCAACATGTTTAACAAACAACCAGATAAACCACCGACAATATATATTGTTAGGAATGCGGGTAAAATAGTAAAAGAAAATTAGAAATATTGAAGGTAGAACTATAATCTCCCACTTCTTTTAGCAGTATAAAGTATCACGCAGTCGACTAAGAGGGATCACTCAGTCTGTAATTCTAAGAGTACCACTGTGGTTACTATGCCCGTTGGGGTATTCTACTAGTATAGGCAAGGAAGGTCGTATTGCTGAGATACTGCCCTGTGTTACATTGCTACACAGACAGCTAGATTATTGTATTTTAGTTACTTTCATAGCGTAATGTCTTATGGAATTTTACTATGGGGTAATGCGGCTGATATTGAAGCTATAATTGTTTTGCAAAAGAGAGCCGTGCGGGCGATTTATAACCTAAATTGTAAAGAGTCCCGCAGAGAAAAAATTAAAGAAATAAACATATTAACTTTAGCATCGCATTATATTTATGAGAATGTAATGTACGTGCATAAAAACATAAATAGCTTTAATAAGAATAAGGATGTGCATACTTTAAATACTAGGAACAAACATAAGCTTGTAATGCCAGTTACTAGACTCCACGGAATCAGTAATTCATTTATGGGGCAATGTATACGCTTTTACAACAAAATCCCAGAACATATTCAAAGTTTGTCTATAAACAAGTTTAAAAGTTTTATTAAAGAAAAACTGTACAAAAAGGGTTATTACAAGGAATACATGAATGAAAATAACCCCTGGGAATAGGGTGATCGCCACCATGGTGGTTCTATGAAAAATCATTTAAAAATTGTATAAACAAAATTATTGTTAAGTGAAATAATGTTTAAAAAAAGTCCCGCTGGGTTTTTTGCTGGTTCTTCCCAGGACAGAGGTATTTTCCGAACCAGTGGTAAATAAAAAATGACTGTCTATAAGTATTATGTAATAATCAATATTGAATAAAAATTATTCTATTCTATATATATATATATATATATATATATATATATATATATATATTGTCGGTGGTGTATCTGGTTGTTTATTATACTTTATATATTACTTTATATTTATATATTACTGTAATGTATATAAAAATATCTTGACTCGCCTAAATAAAATTAAGATAAAAGGAATAAACTCCTTTAGTTTTACAGGAAGATCGTATTGAGATAAAATTTCTATAATTAAATCTATTCATCATACTCGTAATAAAGTATGTAATATTTTTTTTTTCAATTTAAATTTTTTTAAACATTTTTAATGTGGTGGAGCCACGCTGCAGCTAAATTATAGTTGTGGCACGAATGGATCGGCTCGACCGGGAAATGAGACCATGCTCTCACAGAATACTAGCGTAAAATAGCAGCTTAATGCTGCTATGATTCGTATGGTTAGTACCGGTGACCCTTCTTACTGGAAACGAGGCATTCCATCTTAGTCCTCAGGGGTGACAACGCATCTGCATTTTGGTTCTTAGCTGACGATATATGTCGATGTCTATGGGCCACAGAATCCACTTACCATCAGGTGAACTGTGTGCTCGTATAACACCCTTATTCTATAAAAAAAATACATTTAGGGGAAATAATTTACTCTAACAATTACGAGATTTTTATTTTCAATTTCACATGCACGATTATACTTTTTAACATTTGTTTAAAAATTAATCAATAAATTTAGAGAACTGTAAAACTATAACGAGATATGTGGTGCAGAGACTAGAGTAATTGAGAGGCAAAGACATGTCGAGTTTTATCAAACCCCATAAAACGTATGCTAAGTCATGGTCGTGAGTGAGTTGATAAAAAACTTTTATTTTCCGACGCTCCAATTTATCTGAAAACACATAATAAATTACATTATAACTTAAAATGAATGTATAAGCCTACAAAATTTTAATTTTCATGGTATTTAAAGTAGAATATTAGTATATAGAAGTCTTAGTCGTATTTTACTGTTGTTTGTACTTGTCATACATAATGTTATACTTTCGCATAACGTGCATACGAAACAATTCATTAAACACCTCTTTTATATAATTATAACGATATTAAGCATCACAATATAAAAACCTATCATAATTAGGCATTTCAAAAATATGACTTTTATATAAATGCTGATTAAGAAACCGCGGAACTAAATTAGAAAATATAACATCTAAAATCAAAAATGATGGAATGCCAATCCGCCTGACAATCGTGACCAATAGAATCGACGCCTATGTTCAGTAATGAATATTTATGTCGGTGAAACCAATAATATATTTACAAAGAACTATTGCCATAAACAATTACGCGAAAAAACTTTATGCCAAACATTTTGAACATACAACATAGAAACTAAGATTGTTATGCTAACTAATTAATAAATTGAACCAAAGTAATAATTGAGCATAATGCTTAGGTCCTCCGGCAATTCTGCCAATATCGTCGGCAAATCGAAGGTGAGTGATGTACTCGCCATTGATGTGAATACTGTAGTATCCTTTCCAGTCCAAAAGCTTGAAAACGTCTTCCAATGCAGCGGTGAAGAGTTTCGGGGATATTACGTCACCCTGTTTTACACCTCCATGCAGTTGGATCGATTGCGTACTCTGGTTCTGTACTCGGATAGCCATTGTAGTACTACTAGCGTAGTACTGATACACCGACAGTCCACTTGGCACTGCTGACGGGACTGCAGCACCGCCCAAATTTTTACGGAATCAAATGCCATTCAAAGGCTTTCTCATAGTCCACATACGCAAGTCAAAGGGCCTGATTGTACTCTTCAGTCTACTGTATAATTTGCTGAAGGGTATGTATGTGGTATATAGTATTAAAGGCTTTTCGGAAACCTGCTAGTTCGGGAGGCTAAAAGTCGTCAAGGCTGCGTGAGAGACGATTCATTGTGACTCTCGAAATCAATATTTAGACGCGGCTCAGAAGGAAAGTCGGTCCGTAGTTCTTCAAGAGAGCGCTGTCACCTTTCTTGAAGAACAAAACCACCGCACTTCTGCTCCACGCCTCCCGAGTAGTGCCACCATGGAGAATGGAATTAAAGAGCTTCTGAAGGACATCAAGTACCGGTTTTCCACCCGCTTTCTAAAGTTCCGCTGTAATTCCATCCCCGCCCGGGGAGTCGTCGTTTTTAAGGTGCTGGAAAGCCATTCTAATTGACATCCGGGATATCATCGGAATAGTGTCGGATAAGTCTTGCTATTGGATCGTTACTTACACTTGCGTGTGGCTCCAACGATTACGTGTTCTGCCCATTGAACCTGGCAATCTCACTCAAAATCTCAGGTGTCCCGGAAACAATGCTGGCACATTCGGTCTTCAGTCTCGACAATTGGCTCTTTCAGGCAGACAGATCTCTGGCAAAACTTTGGAGCCCTGGTCCTGCTTGATTGGTTCTTCAATACGAGCAATATTAAAGTTGCGTAAGTCTCGCCGCATGCATTTGGAGATCTGTCTGTTCAGTTGCCTATATGCTATCAAATGTACTAAAGACTGCAGCTTCATTTCCCGTCTAACAGCCATGAGATTAAGAGTGTGATTGGAGAGTTTTTGTGTTATTCTGCGGCAAGTCTTGCAAAACTTAGTTCCGGCCACATGGACAATTCTCTCGAGCTTGTCCTTCATATCGTCCACTGCATTGCAATCTTCTAGGCACTAAAAACGGTTTTTTTACTAAAGTTGAAAGGTTTCGGAACTTTGGATTAGAGCACGAAGGGAACGAAGCGTTGACTTCATTAGACGATACCTCTCCAACTTAACGTTTAGGTTTATTGTGCCTCAAACCATTCGGTGATCGCTACCAGTTTTTACCCTTGCGATCACTGAGAGATTTCCTACTTCCAGCTCACCGTTCTCTCTTATGCCTAGTTTTGCATTTTAGTCTCCCATTAACATCGTATAGTGGGTTTTGGAGGAATGCATGGCTCTAGAGATATCTTCATACATTTCATCCACCTCCTCATCGGGATGTGCCGAGGTTGTATATTTTTACAGTGTCATCTTTAGTACCTGATGATGTTGATGCATTTTGACAACACAATTTATGTCTTTGTTTAAGGATGTCTTTTAAGAACCTATTGAACAACACAAAGATGAACATTTTTTTCAATACGACTCATCACTCGAAGTCAGTCGACACAAAATAAGATTATAATAGATGTAAATCTACGCAGCACAGAACCTGATTCACCAATTATTTATTCTCCTTGTTTAGCTAATAATATAAAAAAAGCCTTCATCAATGACTTTGACTAACAATCCGTAGAACACTTATTTTCTATAAATGTTGTAAATGATGTGTCTGACTACAACGAATGCACCGCAATGCCTTCACCCTTTTGTGACTTTTGCAATTGTTCTCAAAGTGCTGATGAAACTTTATTACTGAACATGATTCCTGAAGATGTTGATGTAACACTTATATCAAAAAATATTCCTTGTTCCAATCCCCCATCGCTTGCTATGCCTTTAGGTACTCTTTTAAAATAAATGAATTTTAATTTAGGCAAAATATCAGCAAACACAATTTGCGCAATTCGGAGGTTCACTGACATTTCACAACTTTTTTGTCAGGACCAAAAGTAAGCGTTGCAATGAGATAAAATCCTACTGTAGACTCAATTCTCTAGCTAAAGTAAATTACTAATGAAATCCAAATGATACGTTTAGGCAAAGTAAGGTTAGGTAGATCAAGTTAGAGCATTTTACGGTACCTAATTACCTATAAGTGATTGAATAGTAATTTTTATAATGTTTATAATTGAACAGTTTATTAAAAATTTAAATAATTTATTATTAAAAATGTAGATCCATGTTTTTTACTGTAATTTCAGACGACAAGAGTGGTAAAAGCTGTCGGACGAGATATCCATATAAAAATTTTAGATTATTGTACTTGATATTACCCATATGGTCATCCGATTCATATGGTGACTTTCTTATAAATCAATAACTACAACCTCGTTTGCATAGATGCCTCTGTTATACGATAGCTCTTCATCAGTCTATCAAATAATAAAGGGTCAAAAGGGCGCTACTTTATCGACGCTATTTTGACAGTCAATATTATAGTAAATATTTTTGGTGATCTAAATATTGTGTTGTTAATGTATTTATTTCTTAAATTTTAAAATTTAGTGTCGGATGTAAATCCATTATCCTTTTCTTCTATTGCTACATAAAATGATTGCACGTCTTTTGAGAGCAGTAAAACAATCATTCTACTAAATAGACGGTCACCAAAGAAACGATCCGACAAAGGACGTAGCCGCATTAAGCATGTAGAAGACTAGGTGGCAACGAAAAGTAAACATCTTTGTAATATGGGACAATAATATATTTCTAGAAGAGCGACAGTCAAAGAGGCGATAAAGATGAAACCAAGTTGTAGTTATATATAGCTGTCGCCTACGGTGTCGTGAACCTTTAAGTGAGGAAATATGGATAGAACTATTTTCTTTTTTTTTCATATAGGATAAGGGTGATAAACGAGCACACAGTCCACCTGATGGTAAGTGGTTGCTGTGGCCCATATACATCTACATTTATCCTAGATTACGAATCAAAATGCAGATGCGTTTTCACCCGTGAGGACTTATATGGAATGCCTCGTTTCCAGTAAAAAGGGTCTCCGGTTCTCTACACTCACCATACGAAACACAGCTGCACCAAGCTGCTATTTTACGCTGGTATTCTGTGAGAGCGTGGTCCGTCCCCTGTCGAGCCGACCCATTCGTGCTACAACTATACCAGAAATATATCTGCAGCATGGCTCTACCACGTATAAACACTGGCTAGTCATGTTAAGCAATGGCAATTTATTTCCAAATATGTCTTTCAAAAAAAGAAAACAGCCTGTACTAATCTTGAAAATGAAAGTATTCGTTGATTATATACATTGCATTATTATCTTCCAATAATTTCAAATTGTATTTGATTTTCAGAAAGTATTGAACGCACCACGTGGAAATTAATATTAATATTTTAGACAAAACCTTAAAATATATAATTTTACTGTGTATGACATAGCGCATAAAGAGTCATTCTGTTACATGTGGGTTGAACAAACTGCTGCTGCTGCTGCTATTCATTAGCACGATGGGGAAAGTAAATTGATAAGCTGTATAATGTCATAAAAGTAAACCAAAATATTATCGTAGATTTTATAAAGGGTATTTACAAAACAACTATGGACAAAAAATGTTAGTAAAATTTTTTGTCCATAGTTGTTTTGTAAATATATAGATAAGGTTTCTTGAAATAAAGTCAAAGATATCGGGGCTTCTCCAGAAAATATTATAGGAATGTTACGTTATAAATACAGCTTAGGTGATGAAGAAAGTCAGCAGACACAATGCTTTGAACAATCGAGTACGAGATAGTCTCGCTCAGAACCTTTTTCAAGACAAAGCATATACCCATTTATTTAAAATAAGGGCAAAATACAAATATTTAGTTCAATTCTTTGATACTCGTATTAATAAAAATATCATAATTTTTATAAGAATTTACTAATGTCAGAGGTCGGTCACGAACTTGATGGTAGCGAGGATGAGGATTGATGTCATCTGTATCAGTGTCTTGATTCCTTATTTCGTAACAATTTCAGTTTTTTATTTTTTATTCAGAAAAATTGTTTTGTAAGTTCATAGTTATGGAATGAAAGTAATTTAAGTGGTTATTATAATTTAAAATATTTATGTCACGTGTATGCTACTCGTACTTCATAAAAATGTTGATGTTAATTTTATGGGAATCTTGACTGTGACTGAGATTTTTCTACTTCTTTTGAGTTTATTAAAAAGATGAAAGTTTTTTTTTAAATAATGTTTGTTAGTT